ATTTTGGCTTCCAATTTAGTTTTCCTTGCTAATGCTCTTCTCGAGATTCACCTCTGAACAAATTCAGATTTCCCATAATTTGTGCTTCCTCATAAAATCCAATATATAGCACAGGCCCAGCAAACTTCATCAGTGGTCTTGAAACTTTAACATGCTCTATTAAACAGTTACTCACACACTTACTTTCGTAACATATTACTCACCATGTTCAAGATATAATATTCCAGCTCACTGCCTTCATTACCTTGAAGTATTTTTATCAGAAAGTAGCTTTATATGAAATTTGTGCCATCACAGTTGAAATAGAGAAATGTTTGCAAATCAGATTGTTCCTTCTATATAGTATTGCAAATACGGAAATACAATTTTTATCTATGTAAATTATTTATTTTGATGTATTTGAGGAATGTCTCAAGCAATAGGCTTTGTGTGAAGATTCCCTCAGCTTATAGATGTCACTTTGCTATAATTGTGACTATCTTGGATACAGTTTGAAATAACAAACCAGTGCTGTATAATATGAATCAATACAATTTATAACATTACTGAATCTGTATCACATTCAAACGATTACTAAATAGAGGTACACTCATCCATTGGTGACATGTAGCAATGTTTAACCCCAGGTTGAATTCAGAAACCATGAACTCAGTGCAAACAAGCTTTGACAACAATCAAAATGGACTGTTGCCATACTGTCAGTGGTCATATCGAAAATGTTCTTTAACTGCACTTTTGAAGAATTGCCTCAGAATAAATGAAAATGGGAATGTTACCCAAATATTACATTCAAAACTAGCTCATATTGTAATTCATACAAAAGTTTAATACCCACATATCACCTTCAAATAATGTAGTTACAAAATACTACATTCAAATATATTATACATATAAATGTTATCCTTGCATAACTGCTAAATATTTTTTTTCTTTGTAGATGGTCCTTTCTTTTGTTACACTCGCCATGAACCCGTAGGTGTATGTGGTTTGATTGTGCCATGGAATTTCCCTTTCATTTTGACAATTTTGAAGATTGCACCAGCAATCGCATGTGGGTGTACTTGTGTAGTGAAATCAGCTGAGCAGACTCCACTAACAGCAATATATTGCTCTGCCTGA